CGTGAGCCACCATGCCCGGCCCTATTGCCGTGTATTTTCTAAGACACTTAATTGAACTCCTTCACCTAATCACTTCTTGAGTATTTACCTTCTGAGCATGGGAATAACAATTTTCTCATTTAATCACCATGATAATGAATTGATTACTAAAATTATTTTCATTTTATAACTGAGGAAGCTAGCACTCAAAATCGGTTAAATAATTTGCCTAAGGTTATATAACAGAAGTAGTATTTGAAACCAGACTACCTTAAGTCGTTCTGAAGTGGTCAAATACAATTACATCCATTAGGATTAGGGGTATGTTTTCATGTAGGTTTATTAACAAAGATGGAAGATGGTTATCATAAATTAATACATACGTAATATAGGTGAATCACTTTTTTCAGTTAGATTGTGAATATAAGAGGTTACTTGTGAAAATCCACAAATATATTAAAACTAGAGTCTACATTCTAGACCACTATTTTTGGAGCCAGTTAGACCTAGAACATAAAGATCAGAATGTATGTTTATCAGCATCTCTTCAGAACTTGGGTTAAAAACATGAACTAGAAGTAAACTATACTCTAATTCAAATTCTTATTTTCAAATCATTTAAACATTTTGTTTCTACTTATTCAGTCCTAAATACTTAAAAGATAGAGATGTGTTACAGAAGCTTTTAGTTTTTTACAAAAGAGGTTAATTGATATCCTCAGTCATATAAGGAACTTGTGGCAGAATAAGAATTAGTGTCCTGGCCGGGCGCAGTGGCTCACGCGTGTAATCTTAGCACTTTGGGAGGCCAGCGCAGGCAAATCACCTGAGGTCAGGAGTTCGAGACCAGCCTGGTCAACATGGTGAAACCCCATCTATACTAAAAATACAAAAATTAGCCAGGCATGGTGGCATCTGTTATCCCAGCAACTTGGGAGGCTGAGGCAGGAGAATCGCTTGAACCTGGGAGGCAGAGTTGCAGTGAGCTGAGATCACACCACTGTACTCCAGCCTGGGCGACAGAGTGAGACTCTGTCTCAAAAAAAAGAAAAAATTCATGAATGAGCGTCCCTAAAGCTCTCCATTCCCATCTGATGATCTTTCAGCAACATCCTTGTTGGCTCACTATTTTTTTCCTCTTCAGTAAGTGAAAGCAAACTGCTGTTTTCTACATACATATTTTCTGAGAGATTATATATTGTTGTTACCTTTTGGCTCAAACTCAATTTTTATATCCCTTCAACTTTTTTTCTAGCTAGGATTTGAACCTATATCCTTTCAACTTGTTTTAGAACCCTTTTCATGCCTAGAGCGTTGGACTAAGAAGTCTAGCTTCTGGCCAGGCACAGTGGCTCTTGCCTGTAATCATAGCACTTTGGGAGGCCGAGGCAGGTGGATCACCTGACGTCAGGAGTTTCAGACCAGCCTGGTCAACATGGTGAAACCCCATCTCTACTAAAATTAAAAAAATTGGCTGGGCATGGTGGTGGGTGCCTGTAGTCCCAGCTACTTGGGAGGCTGAGGCAGGAGAATTGCTGGAACCCAAGAGGCAGAGCTTGCGGTGAGCCGAGATCAAGCCACTGCACCTCCAGCCTGGGCGGCAGAGCGAGACTCCGTCTCAAAAAAAAAAAAAGTCTAGCTTCTGATTCTACTTCAATTATTAATTGGTAGGAAAAGTAAAACTAGTCTTTTCTCTAAGCATATTTTAAGAATATTAAAAAACGTTTGAAGCTTATTGAAAAATTTAGCAAGTGGTCTTTTTTTATTCTTCTTTCTTTTTTAAAAAAAGAAAATAGAGACAAGTCCTTACCATGTTGCCCAGGCTGGTCTGAAACTCCTGGGCTCATGCGATCCACCCGCCTCAGCTTCCCAAAGTGCTGGGAGTAGGCGTGAGCACCACACTCGGCAGCAGGCGGCCTTTTCTAAATAGTAAATGTGTGATTTCTTTCAGTCGTATTGGCACAGTTTTAAGTGTTAATGTGGCAGCTTCCCTTGTTCACATAATGATGTGTTTGCAAATTACCTTGGCTGACCTCAGATTTACGGTATTCTGAATTTATTAATCTTGGAGCCTGTAGGTAGTCGCTTGTCAGAACTGTTGAATTAAGCTATTAAGTAAGATACCAGAAGGTCTCCCAAACATACCTAATTTTATAGACAGTTTAAAGCAGACAAGTTTGTAATGTTAGGACAATCTTTATTTTGTATCTTTTCAAAATAGGATGTGAGCTGCAATGAAATTCAAACTATACCTTCCCAAATTGGTAACCTGGAGGCCTTGAGAGACCTTAATGTAAGAAGAAATCACCTAGTACATTTGCCTGAAGGTAAGAAACTATGAAATGATTATTATTATTATTTTAAGCTCTCTCAGACTAATCAAGACAAAAATGTATAAGGGTTATATCCAGGCTGGGCGCTGTGACTCATGCCTGTAATCTCAACACTTTCAGAGGCAGAGGAGGGAAGACTGCTTGAACCCAGGAATTCCAGACCAGCCTGGGCAACACAGAGAGTCTGTCTCTACAAAAAATTAACAAATTAGCCCCATGGGCTGGCATACTCTTGTAGTCCCAGCTACTCAGGAAGCTGAGGTGGGAGGAGTCCCTGAGCCCAGGAGGCCAAGGCTGCAGTGAGCTATGGTGGCGTCACTGCTCTCTAGCCTGAGCACCAGAAAGAGACCCTGTTTAAAAAAAGGAGAGAGAGTGCATGTGTGTGTGTGTGTGTGTGTGTGTGTGTGTGAGAGACAGTGTGTTACCTCCAGTGTTTGAAATCTAATGGTTTATTTAATAGTGTTATCTGTTCCACTGTGGATTTTAAAAGCCTCTTCAATGAAAAGGTTTGATAACTCTTGGCCTTTGATTTTATTTTTAGATATTGTCAACCAATGTAATCAGTAACTCCGGGTAGGGTCACTGGAAATTTCAGTAAGCATGACTGTTTGGGGGAAATGTAACATGTTTGGATAAGGAGATAGTATGTAGTATAATGAAAAACATTCCCGCAGTTAGCACTCACTTAAAAATGGACTCTGACCTGAACTTAACTTTACCCGTCACTGGAGATGTTCAAACAGAGGCTAATGAACCATGTAGAGGTGATGTGTAGAGTGAATGGTAAATGGGGTGAGAGACTGCGCTGAGAGGCAGGTTATCTTACTCAGGCTGACTACAAGCCATATCATTCAAATACATATTTGAATGATAGAAATGATTAAACAATTAAGTCTAATTTATCAATCTTTCACAAATTAATAAACAATGCTAGAAAGGAAGATGAAAATGAGAGCTGTTATTTTATGAGATCCAGAATATATATTTCTTCTACATGTTTCTGCTCATCACCCAGCAGTAAGAGTCATCAGCTCATCGCAAGTCTTGTCTCTGCTGTGCTCTCATTTACTTTCCCCTGCACTGTTCTCTAGATTAATTTGAATCATATACAGAAATTTATTGTAAAATACCAATGAGTCTTCTCAAGGTGTTTTCATGACAGTGATTTTCTAGGTTCTTTGACAAAATATGACTACAGTGTACAATTAATATTTTGTTTGTTTTGAGACAGGGTCTCACTCCCAATACCCAGGCTAGAGTGCAGTGGCATGAACATGGCTCGTGCAGCCTCGACTTCCCAGGTTTAGGTGATCGTCTCACCTCAGCCTCCCAGGTAGCTTAGACTGCGGGCACTCGCCACCATGCCCAGCTAATTTTTGTATTTTTAGCAGTGACGGGTTTTGCCATTGTGCCCGGGCTGGTCTCAAACTCCTGGGGTCAAGAGATCCACTTGCCTCAGTCTCTCAGAGTGTTGGGATTACAGGTGTGAGCCACTGCGCCTGGCCACAATACATGTTGAATTAACTAATGATGTTTTCACTTTCCCTGTAGAATTCAAATATTTATACCAATTTGATCCAGCATAATATTTAGTTCTAAAGTACTAGTGGAGCTTTGACATTTTGGATTCCAAGTAAATGTGTAAGAACGTGACCTTTTCAGTCACTTTTATATACTTTACTGCAACCAAAATCTCACATGTCTTTCATCTCACTTGGCTTGTCCAGGAACCTTCCCACCTTTTATCCTCAGGGCCTTATTTTCTCCTGGGTCTGTTTGCTACCAACTCAGGAATGTAAATGAAGGTTAGCAAAACCAAAATCATGACCTCTAGGACCTTATAACCCCAAATTTCTCTCTAGGGTTACCTCTGTACTCAGGACTCACCTACTATGATTGGTCTTCAAATACTTACTCCTATAATAATATTTATTTAGTGTGAAATCAATTAATGAAAATATTAGGGTTTTAATCAAAATGAAAATTGAGAATTTCAGATGACAATGGAAGCTTAATAGTTTTATCAGCTAATTTATTTCTGTATCTTATTTTGATTGTAGACTGCTGACAAAATGGTTTATCACACAAATAGTTTCAATTTTTTTTAACAGTTTATTTTATAATCTCAGCACATATAGTTGAACTGAGTTGGCAGGTGAAGCTTTATTCCAACAGCTACATTCATTCGTGTGGAAGTTTAATTTCTAACATTGCAGTTTGGTGGATATCATTTATCTTTTGTTATGTTGCCATTTTGATTTAAAGTTAATCTTAACTTTTACCAAATAATACGTTACATCATTCAAAAAATATTTAAAAATATTGAGTCTTTTTTTTGTTTTTTTTGAGACAGAGTCTCACTTTGTCGCCTAGGCTGGCGTGCAGTGGCGCCATCTTGGCTCACTGCAACCTCTGCCTCCCGGGTTCAAGTGATTCTCCTGCCTCAGCCTCCCGAGTAGCTGGGATTACAGGCACGTGCCACCACGCCCAGCTAACTTTTGTATTTTTAATAGAGACAGGGTTTCGCCATGTTGCCCAGGATAGTCTTGATCTCCTGACCTCGTGATCCGCCTGCCTCCGCCTCCCAAAGTGCTGGGATTACAGGCGTGAGCCACCGCGTCCAGCCAAGAATCTTAAATAGTATCGTTCCCCTGCCTCAAACTTCCCAGCACACCAATTTCAATGGCCAAAAGTATGTATCTTCATTAAACTCCTTTGATTCTTTTTTTTTTTTTGAGATAGGGTCTCACTCTGTTGCCCAGGCTGGAGTGCGTGCCGTGATCATAGCTCACTGCAGCCTCGAACTCCCTGGGCTGAAGCCATCCTCCCATCTGAGCCTTCCAAGTAGCTGGGACCACAGACATGTGCCATCACACCCAGAAGTTTTTGTATTGTTTTGTAGAGACAAGGGTCTCACCATGTTGCCCTGGCTGGTCTCCTGGGCTCAAGCAGTCCTCCTACCTCAGCCTCCCAAAGTGCTGATTACAGGCATGAGCCACAGTGTCCAGACTGCTGACATATTTCTAATTGATACATTTTTATAGCTATTGCTGGTTTGGGCAACTTTGACACTTATGTCAGCTTCCTGTTGTGATAGATGAGGATTTAGTTTCCTTACACTATCACATACCGTGCCTTTACTGCCTTCCGCCCATCTTCCCAGTGTAGTTTTAGCACAACTTTTGATTAAATTGTTATTCAGTGTTCACATTACTATAATTATGTAAACATTGTTCCCTGCCAATTCAAGTGATGTACTCTGATTTTATTTCTTTTCTTGTACATGTTTTTTTTTTTTTTCTAGAGGTAATAGTTTCTTATCTTTTTATATGCTTATTTTTGTGTGTGTGTATTGCTAATTCCACCCTCTTTTTCCAACAGTCTTCCTCGTCAAACCAGTCAGATTCTCTATCCCTTTTTTCCGTGCACTTCTGCCTCACTGAGCCCTTTTTTCCTCTTCTGATACGGACTGGCTGTTCTCTAGTATTACTGCCCAGCTTTTTTTTCTTTTCTTTGAGACGGAGTCTCGCGCTGTCACCCAGGCTGGAGTGCAGTGACACGATCTCGGCTCACTGTAACTTCCACTTCCCGGGTTCAAGCGACTCTCTGCCTTAGCCTCCCGAGTAGCTGGGATTACAGGTGCCTGCCACCACGCCTGGCTAACTTTTGTATTTTTTGTGGAGACAGGGTTTCAGCATCTTGGCCAGGCTAGTCTTGAACTCCTGACCTTGTGATTCACCCGCCTCGGCCTCCCAAAGTGCTGGGATTACAGGCGTGAGCCACTGTGCCCGGCCTGCTGCCCAGCTTGCTTTCTTCTGTGTTAAATACTCCGATTCCTAGACTGGCGTCCTCAATTTACTCCCTGTTTTGCTGGAGGACATCTCCTAGTAGTTTCCCAAGAACACGTCATAGGAGAACATATTTTTGAGACTTCACTTGAAAAGAAATGTCTATTCTGTGTCCCCCCTTGATTAATAATTGGATTATAAATCTAGGTTGAAAACTTTTCTTTCAAGACTTTTAAGTCTTTTTTCACTCTCCGCTTTCAGTGTTTAAAATTAATGGTTGAAAATCTGATGCCGTTCATTCTTAATCCCAGTCCTCTGTGACCAGCTTTCGCTCTCGGGAAGATTTCACGATGGTCCCTGTTTATCTGCTGCTCTGGAGTCGTATGTGAATGTGCCGTAGTATGAGCTGTTTTAATTCAATGTACTGGATACTTGGTGGGCCCCTTTCCAAACCAGAGATCCATATCCATTTTGGGAAATTGTTTTACATCTTTTTTTTTTTTTTTTTTGATAACTTTCTTTATTCTGGTTTCTCTGTCCCCTTTTCGAATTATTTTGAATTGGATGTTATTAGACCTCTTTGTTGATCCTCTTTGATGATTTTTCTTATCTTTTTCATTATTCATTTCTTTGTCATTTTGTGTTATCTTATGGTAAAATAGTTCCAACCATCATGAATTTTTAATTGCTACCATTATATTTTTTCATTTCTACAAACTCATTATTCTGTGATTTTTAAAAAACATTCCTTTTATGTTTCAGTGATTAAGGACCTTCTCTTTCTGAAACTAAAGATAGTCTAGCTTTTCAAAATTTTCTTCTGCTTTCTATAAAATACCTGTTTCTTCTGAGTTCCTTTTTTTGGTTAGTTGGTTGGTTTTGATGTTGGAGATGTCTAAATGTCTGTGGATCATATACTATCTTTATATAGCTGAACAGAAGTTCTGAGTATACTGGGCAGAAATTGTATAATGGTCGTTAAGCAGCAAGCTGTGCATTTTATTAGAAGAAATTCTGTATCATTATATAAAAGCCTTATATATGGGACTGTGAGGTTTACCAGAGAAAGAAGCTCCATTTCTTCTATGTTATTGTGTATATTCTTAACTGTGGCCATTCCTGGGGATGAAGTAGGATAGGGTGGGGTGGGAAGGTGCTGAGGTCTTAATGTTAAGTGTGTAGACTTTGACTTCTCCATTTTCAGCTGGCAACTCCTCCTGACTTTCCATTGTGCCTGGGATCCCTGAGTTCAGAGCATTTTTGGTTCAATTGCACTGGAAAAGAACTTGCTGACTGCTGGGAACATTGGAGAAGGATAGTGCCCCAGCTGCGTTAGTGGGGGCTGTGGACCCAGGCATTTAACTGTTCTTTATATAGAGTGTTATCTAATCCTTTTGTTATCCTCACCTTCTTGTGGTATCAGGGCCTCCAGCTTCTGAGACTTTCTGTAGTTCTGAGCGGGTCAAAGCTGCTTGCTTTTTATTAGTCATCCTATCTATAGGCAACTAGGTCTCATTTTTACCACTTGTCACATTTTTACCACTTTGCTACCAGTTAATCACTAAAAGAGAATGGGAGTAAGTATCTGTGTTAAAATCACATTTAACTAGAAGCTTTTGTGAAAATTCTTTAGTTGTAAAACATCATTAATTGTTCATTTCCATTTTACCTTCATGCAGAGCTGGCAGAGTTGCCTTTGATACGGTTAGACTTCTCATGCAATAAAATTACCACAATCCCTGTTTGTTATCGGAACCTCAGGCACCTACAGATGATCACCCTAGATAACAATCCACTACAGTCACCTCCTGCACAGGTAAACCATAGTGAAAGCATCAGGTAAACCATAGTGGAAGCATCAGGTAAACCATAGTGGGAGCGTCAGGTAAACCATAGTGGAAGCGTCAGGTAAACCATAG